AGGAGGCCGTGGGGGCGGGGCCGGCGGGGCCCGGGGCGCTGGCGCTTCTTCCGGTGCAGCCGGTAGTGTGTGTCTGACCTGGGCTGGGGAGGCAGCTTTATCCCCTGGGGGTTGTTTCCCGTTGGTTTGGGGATTTGTGTGCGTGTGTGGGTTTGGTTGTGGCTTCCAAGAATGGCGCGTAGCGGCATATAGGGTACAAATCACATTCTGTTCCCGTCACTGAATTACTTTTCTAATATTAATGAAACATAAGAAATTTCAGTCCCGAAACTTCCACTTGGTCACGCCTTGCACTGGTCTGTGTTAATGTTTCTTGAACTGTGTTCTATGTAGTACTAAAGTTCGGAATGGTTTCTCTTCTTGGGAACTCCAGAATTAACTATTTCAATAAATGATCACTTAGATTTGAATCGGCCCTAATCAAAACACGGCTGACGTCAGGACCTTGTTCAACATCCCATTAGGCGAGCAGGCACCTGCAAGAACGATTCATCTTAGACACGTTAAAATGCCTACGAGAGGGATTCTGTTTCTTCATAACCCCAGGCAACTGGGATTCAGTTACAACTGGCACTTAAAGCTGGCAGAATCAATCTAGGCGTTGCTGGACATTTTTACTTATACTTTATCCTACTGGGCTTTTAATATTCCCATTTAAAATTTCTGGTTTTTGTTGGTTTTCTCTTTGTGTATCACTTCAAATGTGATGTACGCACTATGGACCTTTAAACCATCTTTGAGAAAATGAAATGCTGTTGCACAGGGTAAAGCAATAATCTGTGGTTCATGACCATAATGGAGGGGGCAAGATGTCATCAGTTTAAACTGCAGTAAGAAAAATGGAGGTGAGGTATTAAAAAAACCTCCTTATGTTAGCAAAGATACTACAACACTACTTAGTAGGGAAAGCATGGGTATGGAGTCTTCATCATATGGGGCTTCAAAGCTAAGTGTAGTTGCTCCTGCTATTAACCAAGGGGACAAGCTAAGTGGTCTGTTATAGCTCTTTGCAGGCCATTTTTCCCCGGAACAATTCCTATGCTTGTTTAAATTTATTTCTTAGAGATATTCTGGTTTTTTTTTACTTCTAGGCTGTTATCAAAAAAACTATTGAGCTGTCAAAGCAATGGGCATTGCCTGACATAACAAGATATGTTTTAAATCTCTTCAGTCAACTAGCTATGTTTTTAAGAGACTTCAGAGATGGAAAAAGGACAAACTGCTTCCAAAGCTTCCACAGACATATTTGCAACAGCTATATATACATCACCAAAGAAACCTCTCATTCCAGGATGGGTCTAAGTTTGTGCTTGGAATCGCACATCTACCAGAGCTGGAGTTGACTTTTCAGCCTGTGGATTCACCTCCCCTGCTGGAGGCTGCCTTTAGGCTTGAACTCGTCCCATGCAGGTGGGCAGTTTCAAATCAGGATTTATCTCATGAAATTGTGCACACTGCAGTCTCACAGAACATCAAATATGGACTATGTGTTTATGGCTGACGGGCAAGACTTCAGCACACTGAAAGATGAATTTGCAGGGTGATTTTTATCTTTCTGAAGTGAAACTTCCTACTGGAAGGAAAGCTAGCTCCAAATAAACTCTAAATGTTATAAAAGATCCAAACAGGATGTTAATGACTTGTTTATGTCCCCTTTATTAACCAGTGTGGTTTGAGCTCAGAGGGCAGCTGAGCACCACGCAGCCCCTCACTGAGGCTCACCTTCTGGTTCAGGGTACACACTTGTCCCTTTTACATTCTCATTATCACTAACTGGTGAAGACAACTGAGGCTACAGATATACATAGTAGGAATCTGGACTGGAAATAGTGCAGGTTGACTGCAAATACTTTTAGTAAGACAGTGATAAAAATATAGATGCACACGTTGATTAGTTAATTTATACTAGAGCAATCTTTGTACTTAGAGGACCTATTTTAGTAAAAGTAAAATGCAGTTAAAATGCAGATCAGTTTAGTAAAATGACACCATTTTACTGAAGTTGCTGGATATGTGCTGGACATATAAGGAAAGGTTAGAATATGCTTTGCATTTTAAACTGACTAAACTGTGAAGATGAAGTTCACCTCACATGTAACTGTACAGACTAAGATTTTAGCACTCACAGGTCTTAGCTTCTCATACTTAATTCTTACTAGCAGTTTGGAAAATAAGAGCAGTCCAGTGGTCTCAATACCAACAGTATGAACTTTTCTGTACTTATAGAAGGCACAGCTGTCAAACTGTCTGAATAATTTCAGCAACCCGTACTTGGTACTTAATCATTTACTTCCTTCAGCCACTTTTATCTTTAAAACTTCTGCAGCAAACACCTACTAAGTGGCTTCTTACTTACATTTGTTAATACTGTATGTTGGCCTTACATACAGCATTGATTTCAGTTAGCTTAATTTTTTAGACAAAAGAAGCATTTATATTAAAAAGCAAAGTACTACATTCTAAAATAAATGTGTGATGTTAAGCAGAGTGATCTGTGAGTTGCATGGAAGAGAATGTATGCAAAGTGATTAATTAAAACTTGGTACATGTTTTTTTTTGTGTGATTATATATCCAGAGCAGAGGGGATATTATATTATATACTGTTATACTATATATTATATACTATTTCCTACTATAATGATGAGCAACAGTCATAGTAAATGCAAAGAAGAATACCTTAATTTCCCAGCAGATATATACATGAATAAAGACAGATTTTTTGTGACAAAGTCTTTGG